TCCAAGGACCTGTCTCTCCTTACAACATATCCAAAGCATTTCAGACGAAGCCCCAGAATCCTTGCCTCCAAGGAGTAGCCTGGTTTAACCCTCTACAGGATGAATCTGTTTGTGTTCTTGGCAGTACATGGTACATTCAATACTCTTCTCCAGCACCACAGCTCAAAGGCATCAATTCTCCTTCTATCCTCCCTAGTTATTGTCCAACTCTTTGATGCATAACAAGGGATTGCAAAGACCATGGCCTGTATCAGACACACCTTAGTCTCCAGAGAGTGACTGTTGCTCTTGAGTACTTTAGAGAGGTCCCTAACAGCAGACTTTCCCATCGCAATATGTTCTTTTTTATTTCCTGGTTGCTGGTGCCAAGGGTGTTGACCGTGGAGCCAAGGAAACTGAAGTTGTGAACTATCTCAATCTCTTCACCATCCATCCTGATGCTGCCAATTGGTCCAGTGGTGAGAATCTTTGTCTTCTTGACATTGAGCCTCAGTCCATACTCAAGGCTGCAGTCCTTGACCCTCTGCAGCAAGTGCATGAGGTCCTCCTCAGTTTTGGCAAGCAGGGTTGTGTCATCTGCATAACACAGATTGTTAATAGATCTTCCACCAATCCTGGTGCCACACTTCTCTTCATAGAGCCCAGCCTCTCAGATAATCTGTTCTGCATACAGGTTGAAAAGGTATGGAGATAGGGCACATCCCTGGCGTACACCCTTCCCAATTTTGAACCATGCAGTGTTACCCTGCTCTGTTCTGACGACTGTCTCTTGGTCCAAGTATAGATTTCGCATTAGCACAATTACATGTTCTGGGATTCCCATTCTTCTCAGAGTCAGCCACAGTTTGTTATGATCCACAGTCAAACGCCTTTGCATAATCAATGAAACACAGATAGACATTCTTCTGGTATTCCCTGCTTTCAGCTAAGATCCATCTAACATTAGCTACAAAGTCCCTAGTACCACAACCCCTTCTAAATCCAGCCTGGACTTCTGTCAGTTCTCTGCTGATGTGCTGTTCCAGTCGTTTTTGGATAATCTTCAGTAGAATCTTGCTTGAATGTGAAATTAATGACATTGTTCTGTAATTTCCACACTCTGTTGGGTCACCCTTCTTTGGAATGGGAACAAATATAGATCTCTTTGGATCAGTTGGCCAAGTGGTTGTTCTCCAGATTTCTTGGCGCAACTTGGTGGGCACAAAAATTCTTAAGGGATTTGGTAGAAGTGAAGGGGTATCCTGGTGGAGGGTGGAGCTGGGAAATAAGTGGGTCAAGGCACTGGGCTAAGGGCAGGGACAACACTGTAACTAATGGTTAACTCCACAATGAGGGATTTATCATTCACTGCTCCACAAATTGCTTGTCTGTCAGATACTCCTCTAAATCTAAACATTCAGATTAAGACAGACTAGGAAGAAGGATTGGCCACCCACTTCTGAAATAGGAGGCTCTATGTACAACAACAGAAAACCTATGTATTAGTGTAGGGTGTGTTTTAAATCAGTCTCTCCTGAGATATAAAAGAGCAGATCAAGCAAGCAGGCAAGCACAGGCAGAGGAAGACAGATAACAGGCCTCATGTAGATCTCCAAGGACTGAAGGACAGAAGCTGAGAAAGAAGCAAGGACATTCCCTCAGGGCCCACCGGGGGAGGCAGGCTTCCACTGCTGCCACCACTGGGAAGTCGAACTGTTAGCCTCCTAAGGTGCGAGGAAATAAATTTCTCTGTGTCAATATCACCTATTTATGGTATTTCTGCTATAGTAGCCCCAGATAAAGAAGATGCTGGCATAAACAAGCCTTCAGAGGATAAAATCAACCTGACAATAGCATTGAAGTTCATATGGTGACAGAGAGTGAATAAGAACAATAACAACAACAATTGTCATCATACTACTTTAAAACATTAATTGCTAAATGAGTGACCCTGGAGGACATTATGCTGAGTGAAATATCTCAGTCACAAAAAGACAAATACTGCATGGTGCCACTGTTGTAGAATGGGACTGATGTGGGGGTTGGGGTAAGACTGAGACAAACTGGATAAATTATGTATACTGCATTGAAATAGATGGGGGAGAGAACTGTTTAAAAGTGATATATGATTGAGTATTATGGTTATCACAAGAGTCCAGAATGAAGGTTGCATAGTGGAGTGTACTCAGGTCAGGGGGACAGGGGGAGGCACTGGGGGATTGTATACCAGTGAAGGAATTTTTCTTTTACTTTTCAAAGAGAAGAGCGAACTGGGGGATGGGCGGGGGAGGAGTAGGCAGAGAGAAAAGTGCAACAATGAATAAATGGAAATCCAAAATCTTTGTAAATGTTCATTAAAATGAAAAAAATATTAATTGCTAAACTTTACACATCTATTATCTCATTTGATCCCTACCTTGAACTGTTAGTAAAATGTTAAGCACTATTTTATAATAAGGGGAAGAAGACACAGAAAAGGGAACTATATTGCCGAGGTACATAGAACTAGAAAATGGCTAAACTGAGCTTCACAATTCAGGTGTCTTCATTCTGTGGCAAGCACTGGCTTCCGTCACATCACAAAAGAGGAAGTGAAGGCCCATTAACTTTTCTGATTAGAGACCCAGCCCTAAGTAATTTCTGAGACATGCTACAAATATGCATGGGTGGGTGGGGGTGTGTGTGTGTGTGTGTGAGAGAGAGAGAGAGAGAGAGAACACAAGAGGACTAGAAAGAAGGAAGGAGGGAGGAAAAGAAGGGAAGGAAGAGAAAGAGAAAAGAAGACAAGCTAGAAGGGAAGAGGAGAGAATAAATAAGAGCGAGCAGGTGAATGAGTTACTAGATACTGGTTTCATACATCTTGTTCACTTTCTCTTCCCTCATAAATCTTCAGAGGGCAGGTGTGAGTCAACTGTAAACACAGCGAAGAAAGGTCACCCAATATCCCCTCCACTGAAAACATTACAAGTAACTGCCGTGGGGTGAACTGTGTACATGATATTAAAACATTAGGGTGATCAGGAGATGATGATGATACGGACTTTTTTCAAATGGCTCCATTAGCTATATCTTCCTACACAATATCCCCTATGACCTTTTACCTCCTGTGAGAGCAACAGACGTCAAAATAAGTTTGTAAAAAATAAATTCTATCTAGAATGGTGAAACTTCATCCTTCATACTTTGGACATGTAGCTAGGCGACGCTATTCTTTGGAGAAGGCTATCATGTTTGGAAAGATGGTCAGTGAAGGAGAGAAGACCCCCAAGAGATGGATTGACAAGGTGACTTCAGCATAGGTTCTAGTGTATCAGAGACGATGAGGACGGTGCAAGGAAGGGCAGGGTTCAGGCCAGCTGTTCATAGAGAGAGCTATGGGTTTTAATATGACTCCACGGGAGCAAACAGCAAGTGGGAGAAGGTTAGAGCACTGAATAGGAGTGAAAACCTTACTCCTATCTACTTAGACAACCAACTCACTGACCAATCCTGCCACGAGGCCACCAGCGCTCCCTCTGATTAGTAGGGGTTTTATTTGGTTTTAATACACTTACTGTAAGTCCATACTTCGGTGGTATAGTGATTAAGTAGTTGCACTGCCAACCCAAACGCACGTGGTTCTAATTAAGCAGCTGTTCCACAGGAGAAAAATGGGCAATCAACTCTGTTCTTTCCTGCCTCTGCAAACCTGCTGGAAGGTCAGCTATGAGTCAGTTCTGACTCGATGGTACACAACATATGTTAGGTTCTGTGATAGAAATTTTGTATATAGTAGGCTAATGCTTTAACCGCTTTGCAGCTTTCTTTTACGACAAGGCTCCACCTAGAGGCGAGTGAGTTTCTCTACATGTTTGCCTTGATAGTGAAGGGGAGGAGCATTTAAAACAGGTGCATCTAATCAAAAGTTTGTTTCTTTATTCATTTCACAGGATTAAGTGCAACAGCTAAATTACAAAGAGCTATGGAAACACCATAGGCAGGGAAGGAATTAGCACCACCTGCCGTGCCTAGGGGACACATGACGCTGACCCAACAAGAAAGACATTGATGATTAACTGGAGGGTGCATGTTGTAAAGCAAGAACACAATGAAACCAAAATAGTGAAGTACATAGTTTCTAGGAAAACTGTAACCAGGCCAGTTTGACCCAAGGGTGGTTGTGTGGGCCCTCAGGCCCTTAAATGGCACAAATGGTTTTCTTTGTGTAGTAACTGAGAAGTTAATGGTTTGAACCCACCAGAACTGGGGAAAAAAACAACAACAACAAAAAAAAAACCAACAAAAACCCAAATACCCAAACCTGGTAATCTGCTTCTGTAAAGATCAGAGCCAAGGAAATCCTCTCGTGCTCCCTTCTTCACAGTGCCACATGGGTTGTCATAAGTAAGAATCATTTAAAAGAAATAAGGTTGCTTCTTTCCAGTTTGGTGTTGGCCTGCATCTGGGGATAGTGGTTTCACCATCTTTTGAGCTAGTATTTTGCGTTCTGGTGGCATAGATCTGGTTGTAGTGTGTTGTACTACTAGCCAGAAGACTGAGAATCTCCAGCTGTTTGAATGCCACCAAATTTCCCTGGGAAAAGACAGGCAGTCTTCTTTTATTACTATTTACAGCCTTGGTAACCCAATAGAGGGCTACTAAGAGCCAGAATCACTTTAATGATGTTTGAATGTCATGCTAATCAGCTTGGAGTTGGTTGGGTTTGGGGGTTTTTTTATTATTGATAGTGGGAAGACATCAGGAGGTTTTCTCAAAGAGTTTATCAGCAATTCTTAATATTAGCTCATTTATAAATAATCTATGTTGTGATAAAATGAAACCTGTTTGAAGTGTTTCAAAGAAAAGATGGTTGTTTTCATTTTCTTTCACATAGGTGAGAATGTTACCAGTCATCATTGCCCAACAAATAAGTGACCACATTACATTAGCCCTGAGTCCCTTAACATGTACGTTGAAGTAAGTTAATCATTTCCGCTGCTTCCTGGGATAATGAAGCACTTTTGTTTTCTTTTCTGCTTCAGGAAGGAATTAAAAACTTCAAGGAACTTCGAGCCAAATTTCAAAACACAATAGATACTCCACTTCTTTCCGGGCCTAATAAATGCCCAGCAAGTGTCTCACAAAAGAGTTACATCACAAGTGTACAGCCAAGACAGGTTTTGACCAATGGAAAACCCTTCTCATCCAAACCAAATCAGCCCTCGTCATCTTGTCCCAGTGGTGAGTCTCGGCCTCTTACACTTCAGAATGACAAACTGACCCAGAGCAACCAAATTCAGAAATGTTCTACTTCCCCAACATCTCTAAAAGGGGCTTCTGGATCAGCCATAAATTCACGGAAAGCCTCACTGCTAGCAGAAATGAATCAACCAGATAATAAAGTAACTACTAAAGAAAAAGTAATGGTGGCCTCTAACTTCAGAGACAAGCTTCGCAACTGGGAGAAGTTTTCAGCTCAGCACAGTGAGAAGCCATCAGCCAACCTCCTTGCTAATTATGGACGTAGGGATTTCCATCTGAAAGAGCCAAAAAGCCTGGGATGTTCTCCAGAGAAGTTAATGAAAAGACTGGGAACAAATGACTCTCAGATTCTTCCTTCCCAAAGACACTTGAACGTTGAACCAAAACCACTTGCCTGCAATGAGGATTCCTCTACTCTACTTTCACAACATGATGGGAAGAGTCTAGAAAGCCACAGTCCTGGGAGGAAATCCACAGGGAGCTCCTCCCCACTCATCTCTGAGTGTGAGCCTGCCAGCCAAGTAACAGGTGAGAAGTGCAAATCCCCATGAGAGTCCTGGAGGGCTCAGTGTCTTTTCCTAATTTAAAGTCTGTTAACTTACTATTGCCACATACATGTTCTGGGTAATATTTGCTCCAATCTTCAGTGCAAATATAGTAGGCTTATTGGCTAAATTGCAAATTCTTATTTGGAGAAAGTACTTCATCTCCTGGTTTTGCACTGAGAGATAGTTTATAAGAATCAGAACATCATGGCCTTTTCTTTCTAGGTCATATCCATATCTGTCATATTGTTGTCTATTTTTGTGTGTATTGCAAATGTCTCTTTACTAGTCAGTTCCTCTTCCTGTAAGAGTCTTTGATATTTGTGTGAGAGCATTTATGTCTAAGTTCAACTGATCCTTTTCCAAATATGCTTCTCAACCCACCAGTTAACGCTCTTTCATAGCATCCTGTTTTATTTCCTCCAGAACACTAATATATCTCTGTAAATCTATTTTGTACATATGTTTGCTTGTCCAATACCAGTTACACTCTATTAGAATGAAATTTTAAGAAGACTGTCTCTCTGTTCTTGTTTTTATTTCTATCTACAACGCCTGTGACATCCTAGGTAAGTAAAGGTGGATAGGGAACGAGAAGAAAGAAAGAAAGGAAGGAGATATGAATAGAAGGAAGGAGATAAAAAGACTGGACAGTGTTTAATGCTCCATTCTTTGATGAAAGGAGCTATTGAGAAGATTAAATGGAATAATCTTTGTAAAATGCTTATCACAATGTAATGTAAAAATTAGAAACTCAGTTGGTAAGTAGAAATTCATTTCTACTGTGTCTTTAATTATCTAAGGACTAAAATTCCTGATATTGTAAAGAGCTGAAAGGGTCCTCACTGTTTGGGAATGAAGGAAGCATCCCTTTCCATCCTAAGCTATTGAAGACAGCAAGGCTTGGAGAATATATCACATAGAGTTATTTGTAAAACAATAGCTGACTTTTCTAGTTTTAATATGAGCAATCCCTCTTACCAACTACTTAAGTATACAAATAAAACTTCAAGGTACTTGGATTATAGATAATTTTAAAAATTATTTTCAGGTAAGAGGCAGATATAATTTTTATATATAATATTGGAATGATTTCTATTGGATTTTTATTTGTGCAGGACTATTTTAAAAAATTGTTGTTGTTGTTTTTAGGTGCCATCAAATTGAGAATGGCTCATAGATGCACTGTGAACAAGAGACCTAACCATGTCTTATCCTGTGCCATCGTCACAATTTCTGACACACTTGAGCCCCTTGCCACAGTCACTGTGTCAGTCTATCTGATTAAAGGTCTTCCTGTCTTTTGCTGCCCCTCCACCTTTTCTAGTATGATGTCCCTCTCCTAGCAACAATTACCACATACAAAATCACAGGCACACAAGTTATCACAAAAAGTAACTTATACTTGGCAAACTCTGGTGGCCTAGTGGCAAGAAGATGTACTGCAATCCTAGAGGTGTGCGGTTCAAATCCGCCAGATGCTCTGCTGGAGAAGGAGGGACAATCTCCTCTTGTACCAGTCAGATCTGATTTGACAACACACACACACACACACACACACACACACACACACATTAATAATTAAAACAATATCTTATACTTGGAAATCAGAGATAAAGTCTTACTTTTAACAGTAGCCCTTGTGCTATTTACATGTTGTAAGTGCTTATGGGACTCTTTCACTGAATATTCACAGTCTATGTCCCTGGAAGATGGCCCTGTACTTCATGCTGGGAGGAGGCCAATAGTCTTGCCCAGAAGAGGCCCGTGCTTAGTTGGAACTATTCAAATATTCCATAATAAGTTAAGCAGTATTAACAATTATTAACAAGATACAGAATGGAACTCTGATGACCGAGTGAGTCAGGAGCCAAAGGCAGGCACTTTGATTCTACTAGCTGCTCCATAGGAGAAAGATGGGTAGTCTCCTCTCATGTGATTCACAGCTTGGAAGAACCCAGTGGAGAATCAGCTATCACTTGATTCCAACTGGACAGAAATGAGAAAAAGAGACAGAAAGAAGATGTTGTTATGTGCCATCGAGTCATTTGCGATTCATAGTGACCCTATGTACAAGAGCTCTAAACGCTGTTCTTTCCTATGCCAACCTAGCCATCTCAAATGCACTTGTTCCCACCACTCCAGTCACAGAATCAATCCATCTCATTGAAGGTCTTCCTCTCCTTCGCTGCCCCTCCACTCTGCCAAACATGATGTCCCTCTCCAAGGACCAGTCCCTCCTTGCAACATGCCCAAAGTATGTCAGATGAAGCTTCAGAATCCTTGACTCCAAGGAGCAATCCGGCTTCACCTTCTCCAGGACAAACCTGTTTGCAGATCAGGGAATTAATAATCCTGGTAGATGTCAAGAGAAGCTTCCTAGAGTATAGATATTGTTAGAGAAGAGCCTTAAAGAATCATTTGAAGTATCCTGGGAGAGAAGTGAGGGAGTCAGTAATGGCATAAATCTAACTTTAGCTATCTGAGAGCTTTTTTTGTTTTTGTTTTAAAACATTTCTCACCCTCTTGTAAAGAGAATGGTTCACATGTCCAGTAATTTCTGCATTCTCCTATTCAATTTTGCGTGCCACTAGCAGGCAGAAAGAAAGCGTGAGAAACTTTATTATTGTGTCTGTGATGTCTATGAAAGCAAGGGGGAAAAAAAATAAAATCTCCATCACTGTCAGAGGTTTGAATGAAGTCTTTGAGGATACACTTGGGGGTCGAAGATGATAGGGGTGGTGAGAAAATAAACTGGAAGCATAGGTTGGGTGGTCTGAATGGAGGTCAGGCTGCAGAAATCTGCCTTTGTCCTCTGAGCAGGAGGGTAGCCAGCGTAATCGAATTTGCATTTGAATCAAGTCACTCTGGCTGCTGAGGAGAGAATAGATTGGAAGAGAGGGAAGCTGAGGCAAGGAAACCAATCAGCTTTCCCTGACAATTCATTAAGTAAAAACTCTAATAACCTGCATGCCTTGTTATCTTTCTCAGAGGAGCAAGAGAGCATAAGGAACTATCAGCTTCCTAAAACAAAGCCATTACCTTCAGTGGAGTCTCTGGGTCCTCCGCCCCCAAAACCTCCAAAGCCCCCGGTGGTGAACCTCCAGGCCTTTAAGAAGCAGGCAGCTGCTCTTTCCAAGACCCAAAGGGAAGGTAAGGAACTGCACAGGGCACCCCAGTACATCCTAGCAGGAGCTACGTAACACACGTGCTTTTATCCACACCTCACTACCCTCTCTCCATCCATTCCTCGGTGACAATGCAGCTCCTGCTCTTCTAGGGGGCTGGACATTCATCACTGTTTCTTCTCATGTGGAAGCCATGGCAGCTTGCCTGTGAAATTACAAATCTACAGGAACTGGCCCCTTATCACTACTGGGCCAGTCTGCTTCCCCTGAGAGCCACGCATTTGATCACTTGGCATCTGCCCAAAGTGAAGAAAAGTCACCAAGCAGGGAGCCAGTCAATCTTTGTGTTTTCTGCAAAGGCTGTGCTGTCAACTCTGTTGACTTCAGCCAGTGCAAACAGGGGCGGGAGGGAAAAGAAAGTTAGTGTGAACTTGACCTGAAATCCTTCTCTGGACATCTCACCTCTGTCATCTGTCTTCAGGGTTTAACTGAAGGGAAACCATCATCCTTTATCTCCACCACTGCCCCACCCCTACAAGACCCCATCGCAGTCATCCAGGAATGGAATAATTTTTTTTCTTAATTATTTAAAAAAAAAAAACCAAACACCTTCTTATTCCCTCAACTACCCCCTCCACAGACTGATCCTGTTGACATTTTCAATGCTTTTGTTTATGTTCACTCTAGTGAAACATGAGAGGAGCAAGCCCATTGGGGTGACACCGGTGCTGTCCTAACATTTGTTCTGCTATTGCCATGACAGATTTTGGTGGCTCATATGACTGTTTAGGACAACCTCCTAGTTAAGTTTCTGTAGTTCAGGGTTCTCAAACTTTAGCACACATCAGACTTACTCAAAAGACTCATTAAAGCAGAGATTGCTGGACCTTTCTCCAGAGTTTCTGATCCATTTGGTCTGGATTAAGGATTTGAGGCTATGACTTTTAGGCAAGTTCCTGGAAATCCCTGAGTGGCACAAACAGTTAAATATTTAGCTACTAACTGAAAGGTTACAAGTTCAAATCTACACTAAGGCACTTGGTGAAAAGGCCTGGGCATGTACTGAAAGATTATATAGTCATTGGTCTCAGCTCTAAGGAGTGTGATCACCACTCCAAAATTCACAGGGTTGCTGTGAATCAGTTATGGAAGAAAGTTCCTGGACAGTTGATTGTGCTGATCCAGGACTCACACTTTGAGAACCACCTTTATACGTCACTTAAATCCTTTCATATATAAAATCATTAAAGGAGAGAACTCTGATAAGTACACTTTTAATGTAGTGGGTGTCAGAAGAGACTCTGAATATAGTATTATAGTGTCGAGAAACCAAAGCAAAGGGGAGAAATTAAGAAGTTAAGGAGCTGAATAGAAGATTTCAAAAGGCAAAACAATTATGAGATATCATCTCACCCCAATAAGAATAGCAAAATTCAACAGAGCAGCAAACAACAAATGCTGGCGAGGTTGTAGAGAAACTGGAACCCTTATTCACTGTTGGTGGGAGTGTAAAATATTGCAACCACTATAGAAGGCAGTATGGCGCTTTCTCAAAAGTTGGAAATAGAAATACCATTTGAGCCAGCAATTCCACTACTGGGAATATACCCTAAGGAAATCAGAACTGCCACCCTAGTAGATATATGCACACCCATGTTTATTTCTGTTTTGTTCACAATAACAAAGAATTGTAAAGAACCTAAGTGCCCATCAACAAATGAATGGCTAGAAAAGCTGTACTATATCCACACAATGGAATATTATACAGCACTGAAAAACAAAGAACTCATGAAATATACAAAAGGGTGACCCTGGAGGACATTATGCTGAGTGAAATATCTCAATCACAAAAAAGACAAACACTGTATAATATCACTGTAATAAAATTAGACTGATATGAGAGTTGGAGGAAAACTAAGAAAAGAGGAGACAAATAATGGACATAGCATTGAAACAGATGAGGGAGAAAATGGTATAAAAGGAATATGTGATTAGGTATTATTGCTAAGACAAGAGTCCAGAATAAGAACTACATAGTAAAGTGGTCTGTGAGGAGGGGGACTGTATAAAAATGAAAAAAAAAACAAAACCCAAAAAACCAAAAACCAAACAAACCTGTTTTTCCAAAGAAAAAAGCAAACTGGGGGGTGGGGAGGCAGGGCGGAAAATGTACAACAATGAATGAATGGAAATCCAATATAAACTTAGAATAAAATATCAATTTAAAAATAAGTTAATTCTACACACATAAGAAATAGAAAAAAATCAGGGTTTTGGTTTTGTTTTTTTTTATCTAATTGAGACTGGAAGAATTTCCCAACTATTTCCCTTAGATAACCTTGAAACCTGGAACTGAACTCACTTTTTTGTGGTTCAATTTTTAACCAAATACACTGATTTGTTAGATGAATAATAAAACCAGGAAGGTACATACTTTTTAGAAAAATCAACTGTATAAGATCATGGGCTATATTTGCTTAGAGATAATGATTAGAAGACAGAGGTGGATAGGAAAGGACAGACAACACAGTGAGAAAGTGGGAGGAATGCTGTTACATTGTCGGAATTGTAATCAGTATTATGAAATAAAATGTGATTGTTTTATTTAGTATAAAAAATAAAAATATCAAGTGGCACAAGAAAAAAAGCTCAGGAAGACAAGGCAAAGTATTATAATGAAATGTGCAAGGAGTTGGAATCAGAAAATCAAAAGGGCTGAACTTGCTCAGCATTTTTTAAGCTGAAAGAACTGAAGAACAAATTCAAGCCACAAGTGTCAATGCTTAAGGATGCTATAGGCAGAATATTGAATGATTCAGGAAGCATTAAAAGAAGATGAAAGGAGTATACAGTCATAGTACCAAAAAAGAATTAGCTAACACAGAAGAATTTTAAGAAACTATATATGATCAAGAGGCAATGGTGATGAAGGAGGAAGTTCAGGCTGCTCTGAAGGACTTGGAAAAAAACAAAGCCCTAGGAATTGATGGAATACCAATTGACATATTTCAACAAATAGATGCTGCCCTGGATGTGCTCACCAAGTTGTGCTAAGAAATCTGGAGGACAACTACTTGGTGAACTGACCGGAAGAGATCCATATTTATTCCCATTCCAAAAAAAAAAAGATGACCCGACAGAGTGTGGAAATTATAAAAAAATATTTAATAACCCACACTAGCAAAATCCTCCTGAAGATAATTCAGAAACAACTGGAACAGTATATTGACAGATAACTACTAGAAATACAAGCTGGATTTAGAAGAGGTCATGGCACTAGAGACACTATTGCCAATGTCAGATGGATCTTGACAGAAAGCAGAGAGTAACAGAAGAATGTCTGTATTTCATTGACTATGCAAAGGCATTTGACTCTGTGGATCACAATAAATTGTGGCTGACCTTGAGTAAAATGGGAGTCCGAGAACACTTGATTGTACTTATGCAAAACCTATACTAGGCACAGGAAGCAGAAGCAGTCCTCAGAACAGAGCAAGTAAACACTGCATGGTTCAAAATCAGGAAAGGAGTGCATTAGGGATGCACCCTGCCTCCATACCTTTCCAATCTATATACAGAACAGATCACTTAGGAAGCAGGGCTTTATGAGGAGGAATATGACATCAAGATTTGAGAAAGACTCATCAAAAACCTACATTATGCTGAAACTGAAGAAGACCTGAAGTGCTTGATGCAGAAAGTCAAGGACTATGGTCTTCAATATGGATTGAAGCTTGACATCAAGAAGACAAAGATTCTCACTACTGGGCCAATTGGCAGCACCGTGATAGATGGAAAAGTGTTTGAGGTTGTTAATAATTACAGCTTGCTCGGCTCCACAATCAACACTCTTAACACCAGTAGTCAGGAAATCAAAAGATTAATTACACTGGGAAAGTCTGCTGTCATGGACCTTTCCAGAGTGCTGAAAAGCAACAATGTCAATCTAGAAACTAAAGTGCACCTAATCCAGTCCATGGCCTTCACAATTACTTACTATGCATCAGAGAGCTGTACAATGACTAAGGATGACAGAAGAAGAATCGATACCTTCGAATTGTGGTGCTAGAGAAGAGTCTTGGACTGCCAAGAAAACAAATAGGTCTATCTTAGAGAGGGTGAAACCAAGTCTCTCCCTTAGAGGCTAGGATTCTGAAGCTCCATCTTATATACTTTGGACATGTGGGCTGGAGAGACTGGTTCTTGGAGAAGGACATCATGCTTGGAAACTCTGGATGAGATGGATTGATACAGGGCAATGGAGGTTGGTGCATTGGAATTAATGAGACTGGCTCAGAACAGGGCAGGATTCAGAGCTGCTATAGGATTGCTATGGGTCTCAGGCTACTCAAAGGCACATAACAACAAACTCTATATCAAAGAAGACCAAGTATCATTTTTCTTTTATAATCTCTCACTGCCATCAAGTTGGAACCAACTCAGAGCTGACCTTCCAGTTTTCAGAGGCTATACATCACATAGGAAAAGGTTGTTTTTCTTGCTCCCTCAGAGCAGCTGGTAGACTTGAACTACCTGCCTTTGGGTTGGTAGTACAATTCCTTACTGACTAGGCTTCAAGCAAGCTCTTTGAAAGAGAAGGAATTGCCAACATAGAACGAAGTACTATCTCATTGGTAACAAAATGGACTTTGCAACTTTCAACTTATCTACTTATTTGCTATTATTTTGTGTATAATTTCACATAAGAAGGCCATTGACTTCATGGGATTATTGTGAGGACTGAGTAGGGTAATGTATGAAAGTATTGAATTAGTTCTTGGCACTTAAACATTCAATAAACACTCCATGTTACTACTCATTTGAACATACATGGAAGCCAGCCCTATAAAGGAAATGAAAGATCAAGAAATAAATCCTGTTGAGGTTCTGGTCCTCAAAGACGTTAAAGTCTAAGCAAGAGACTCTACCCCTAAACATACACCATGTAGGGTGAATGAAGGAGTTGACACTAATAGTTGCACTCAACTATTCACCTAGAGGTAGGTGTGAACACCCGGCAAGACTGCAGAAGGAAATCCTCGTGCAAGCTGACACATGCACACCCATGCCTTTTGCAGCAGTCTTTACAATAGTGAAGAGTTGGAAACAACCCAAGTATTCATCAACAGATGATTCACTAAAGAAACTACGGTACATTCACACAATGGAGTATTATTCATCATTAAAAAGCTATCAGGAGTTCATGAAATACTATACAACATGGATGCATCTACAACAAATTATGCTGAGTGACCTAAATCAGTCACAAAAAGACAATTACAGTGTATGACCACTATTGTAAAAAGCTGAGGAAAAGCACTCACTTTTCCTCACAGAAGAAAATTTAATCACTCCAAATTAGAATCAGTCTTAGAGGATTAATAGGGAGTAAAGGGAGAAAGAGGGGAGTGAAAATTAATAATCAGATAAACTGGATGAAAGAAAAGGCAATACACAATAAGGTTTTGATGAGACATTGTAATTAATTAATTACATCAATCAATTAAAATTAATGCTATAAAACAAAATTTCTATGAATGACTAGGGAAAAATTAAAATTATTTATAACCTTCATTCAAATGAAAAAATAAACAAAGATTATAGAGAACTCTATAGATTTTACACATTGCTTCATCATGTACAAAGATTTTGAAAATCCTATAGAGTAGTTCTACTATGAACACACACGGGGTTACCATAAATTGTAATTAATTGACAGCAAATTATTTGGTAAGGTTGTTGTTACTGTTTTAAGACAGGGCTGCAGTGTAGATTCCCATGACAATTTCCACTGGGGATAGGGGATGGGGAACGGTGTTCGTGATACAGGTGAGCTACCACTCTACTTTTCTCTGGGTTCAGATAATTGTCAGGCATAATCCACTTTACACAACTGCTTCTGATGCATCTTTTTCATTCTGCTTCTTATTGTTGCAGCTGCTGTGGAAGACAACCTGCCTCCAGAGAGGTGAGTACATGCCTCTTAATTGTGCTGAAGTCTAGCCCTTACTTAGTCTGCCCAAGAGGAGACAATAAGTGCAAGCCAAGAATCTATTTTTCTCTGAAGGGTTGAATGGAGAGCAGATTTATAAGCAGTGAGCTGCAACTTTTGTTTTAAATGAGAAATTAAATAAACGGCATTTAACTACTATGCTGACGATAAGTTGCAAAGATGGTCCTCTGAGAGACTTCTATTTATTATACAGTTGGGTTCAGTAAATTGAAACCTCAGCTTCCATAGTCATCAATTGAATTTGAGGCTAAAGTGTGCTCTGGGTAGCTGGTGTGATACTAAGTATTGATCTAGAATAAAGGCCTTACATTTTTGCTGTGTTCATTCTAAGAATTTTGCTATGGAGGCATCAACTCTTTAATTCATTTAACAACATATTAAGTATTGAGCCCTTTGATGTATCATTAATTGAGCTGGATACTTTATACAGATTTCTTTGTTTTGTTTTCTGAAGAAGCTTGCAAGGTTACTACTACTGTTCTCATTTTACAGTAAAAAATGAGGTCAGATTATTTATGTGCCATTTGTAGAATTTGAACTCATAATTGGGAGCTCTAGTGTAATAGTTTGTAGGTAGTTGAGCGGCTAAACCTAAAACAGAGCCTCTGGCAATGTTCATGCCCCAGCTTCTCTGCTGGAGAAAAGTAAGCAATCTTCTCCATATAATTTGCAGCCTTCAAAAATCTGCTAGAATGTCAGCTATACATTGATTCCAACTCAGGGGCAATGAGTTTGCCTTGAATTGGAATTTGAACCTAAGCTCTGGTGGCCTAATGGCAAGAAGCTCTGCTGCAACCCTAAAGGCACATGGTTCGAGGCCACCAGTTGCTCTGTGAAAGAAGGATGGGTAATCTCCTCCAGTGTAATCACTGACTCTGAAAACCTGCCAGAAGGTCAGCTATGGTTCAGTTCTGAGTGTATGGTATGTAACAACAATACCCAAACTATGCTCTTAACTCCTTCTTGCTTCTAAGAAGTTCAATCTTAGAAGGAGGATCAGATTTTTTATTTTTTTTAATCATAATGCTGGAAAAGAGTGTTGAATATACCATGGACTACTAGGACAACAAACAGGTTTGTCCTGGAGAGGGTGAAGCCAGAATGCTCCTTGGAGTCAAGGATTCTGAAGTTTAGTCTGTCATACTTTGAGCATGTTGCAAGGAGGGACTGGTCCTTGGAGAGGGACATCATGTTTGGGAGAGTGGAGGGGCGGCACAGGAGAGGAAGACCCTCGATGAGATGGATCGATTTTGTGATTGGGGTAGTGGGAAAGAGTGTGTCGGAGATGGTGAGGCTGGCACAGGACAGAGCAGCATTTAGGGCTCTTGTACTTAAGGTCGCTATGAGTCACAAGCTACTTAATGGCACATAATAACAACAGCAATGTTCATTCAATAAAAAAATAATTAGCCCTTTCATGATATGTCAGACATATCTGTTTCTCTGTCATTGCAGCAGTACCCTGTGACATCTTGATTACTCTGTGTAAGAGGCTTTGAGATCAGAGTGTGATATGTCCTACTTTGTTTTCTAGGGGGTTTTGGGACACTGTTATCCTCATTGTGGTACATACTGCCTCATGGATATCTATGTGATTTCATGACTCTGAAAAAAATGAGTCTCACACCACTAATCCTATCACTAGTGTTTTCTGTAGACATAGGAATATCACATAATTGTATCAAAATCTTTGTTACTAAAAAAAAGTTTCCCCTCAAGTTTAACCTGCCTTCTATTACTAGAAACACATGATATCACTGACGAGCTCAAAGCAGAAAATAATTTTGTGATGAAAGGGTTAAGTTTTGCAGTGAGGAAGGTATAAAATCTAGAGATTACATAGATGGGGAAGTAATCACTTTTGAGGGGAAAAATAAAGGAAATATCTATAAATTTTATTATCTATTTCTACTGTACTACTACATAACCATAATAGCATTCAACTGTAAGTTGTGTCTGTGGGGTTCAAATGAGCTGAGCTGAGCTGGGTGAACAAAAGTGAGCTTATATGGGTGTTTGCAATCAACTGTAGGCTATCTAGACAGCCTTGCTGATAATGGCTTGAATTTCACACTTATTTAGGGTCACCTTAAAAATAGCTGATCTCTGTTGCCTTGAATAAGATGACTGGGGCAATTTGCTGGGCATTAGTGACTCTTCAATCCCAGAAGTCTAGTCTAGGGATCTTCTATCAGTAGTTGCAGACAACAAGCAAGTAAGCCCAATCTCATGAGCACTTCTCAAGCCTCTAATTTGTGTCACATCTGCTAATATCCTGTTGATCAAAGCCAGTCATATGGCCATGCCCAGAGTCAAGGTAGGAGGACACTGAAATGTTCATGACGAAGAGCAAAAATTCAGGGGAAAGTGAATAGTAGAGACATTAATCCTTTCTTGCTTTGCATTTTCAAATCTATCATAAATATTGAGGATGAAGATTTGCTGGATAAATTAGAAAGGGGTTAGAGGTAGATACAAGAGTATGAAGAAGATAATAGTAAAACTAAATTACAGAAAAGAGTGGGATTAAATGAATTCTAGAAGTTGACAGGAACCAAATCAATCTTTTTCTCCAATGAACTAGTATGTATTGTCCTGGACACTATTTATGTGCTCAAGGAAATCTTTATCCATTTGAAAGAATTAAATAAAAGTACAAATTAGGTCAGTGGACTTGTGACCTATATGCATTTATGTAAAGAGAAAATTAGATAGCTCAGGCAAAGATTTTTCACTTCTACATGTTTGATGAGTATAGTATAGAGAACCATCTAACTCAACTGTGCTCTGAATTTTCTCACTTCAATTCCCTCATACCTCTTACACTATGACCATTTTAGTATAAATATAAATGTGTGGTGATCATAGTGTTTAACTTATTAGTTGCTACTGAATTGGCTCTTACTCATGACATTCTATTATGTATAACAGATTGATACATTACCTGGTTGGTTGTCCTGAAAACCATTTGTTGGATCTTCAACATCTAGTAACAGCTCGTGGTTTATTCAATATTGCATGTTAGCACCACAATTTAAAGACGTGAACTCTTCTTTGCTCTTCCTTAGTCATTGTTAAGCTTTGACATACATATGAAGAACTGAAAATTCCCTAGCTTGAGACAGGTGTTCCTTGGTCTTCACAATGACATCTCTTAAACACCTTATTGTTTTTAATTTTAATTGATATTTTGATGAACATTTATAGAGAACTTGGATTTCCATTCATTGTTGCACATTTTCCTCCCTATTCACTCCATCAGTTCACTTTTCTCTTTGAAAAAAAAATTCTTTTATCATTGCACAATTTCCTCCTCCCCCAGTCCACTCTGTTATGCAACTCTTATTCTATACTGTTGTCATGCAAACAATAGCCAATCATATATTCCTTTTAAACAGTTCTTTCATTCATCTGTTTCAATGAAGTGCATATTGTTTATCCCTCTTATCTCAGTTTCCCCAACCCCCAAGTCATTCCTGTTTTATAACAGTGGCATTATGCAGTACTGTCCTTTTTTGACTGAGATACTTTACTCAACATAATGTCCTCCAGGGTCACCCATTTTATATAATATTTTATGAGTTCCTTGTTTTTCAGTGCTGCAAAATATTCCATTGTGTGAATATACCACAGTTTCTCTATCAATTAATTTCTTGTTGGCACTTGGGTTGTTTTCATCTCTTTGCTATTGTGAACAACACAACAATAAACGTAAGTATGCATATTTCTGTTTGGATGGCAGTTCTGATTTCTTTAGGGTATATTCCCAGTAGTGGAATTGCTGCGTCAAATGTTATTTCTATTTCCAGGTTTTTGGGAAAGTACCATACTGCCTTCCAGAGTGGTTGCACCATTTTGCACTCCCACCAACAGAGAATAAGAGTTCAAGTTTCTCCATAATCTCACCAGCATTTGTTGTTTGCTTCTCTGTTGAATTTTTTTTATTATTAAATTTTATTAGTTTCAATGAACATTCACAGGGATTCTGGGCTTTCACTCCTTCATTGCCGCACCATTCTCTCCACCCTCCTCCCCAGTTTGTTCTTCTTCCCTGCCATCCGAATGTCTGTTTTAATTGTCCAATTGCCACAGTGCTTGTCAAAGTCAGTTCTGATTAATCTCCTTTG